ATAAAAGAAGGCCAGGGCATGAGCCCAAGGACTGGACTCCTGATGTCCACACTGCTTAGTGCTTAGTTTGCTCCTTGGCTCTGATTTGAACCACACCAACAAACTACCTCCATGTGGTTTGTGGGGAAGGACTATGCCACGGAGGCCTCCCACATGTCAGAAGTGGCTGAGCCGGATTTGGTTCTCCCAGTTCCTGCAGACACTGAAACCCAGAGCTTGTGTGTGTTGAGGACCCATGTGTCCTCATGTAACACCGCAGGGGCTGCAACACCCACTGCAGTACCACGCTGTCAGTGCTCCAGTGGTTGCAACACAGGTCTTGTATTACCACAGACATTTAAAATACAAACAATTGGAAACTGGTTTATTTTGGGGCCACAGGAATATCAGCACAGAGACAAGGGGAGACCCAGGGCTAAGTGTGGTGTGGATGGGGCCAGCCTGGTCTGGCAGTGTGGATGTGACCTTGTTCATACAATTTGGTTTTGGAGCTAGGTTTTCACTCTCTGGCCTCACTTTTATTTAAAAGTATAGTTATATCCATGGATGGAAATTCTGCCCCAAGGCAGCCTGGTCTTTCAAGATCAAAAGAAGAGCAGGTTGAAGCTGAATATATTTTCTAGACTTGTTTTGTTATTGAGCCTTTGTTCTGAAAGTATTTTGACCTGTAGTGCATGTTTCATGGCTGGATAAGCTGTGGCCTGTTTTTAAGAAATGTCCTCACTGCTTGGTGTACTGTGAATACTGCGAGCCCCCACACGCCAGCAATAACCAAACAAAACTTTGCTGCCACAAGGCAGATGAATTCACATTGATTCAGGACATGGCTTGTCTTTCTGAGGTATCTAAATGTATTTGGGCAGAGAAATCTATGTGGTTCAGATCCTCTCTGACTTCCAAGTTCAAAGTAAGACTTAACTGTTTTCATTTCCAATACATATAGCCACTCAAAAAAGCATCTTGCAGGTCCCCCTGAATGTCACCAGTGTCCAAGACTAGAAGTGTGCTGTGGATGAAATTCTCATCTACTGATTTCAATGGTATTGTTGGTAGTTGAAAACTGAATAAATGAGCTACCTGTGAAGAGGCTGGAAGTCCAGCTGGGTGGTGCAGGGGCCAAAGAGAGGCATGTTGTATGGCTATGCACTGACATCTGCTGCCAGAGCGGGAGTAAAATCACCCCAGGCAGCTCCGAGGTGGCTCAGGGTGTGACTGTGTCCCTTCAGACAGGACACATGTTTCTGAAATTACTCTCCTGCCTGTACTTCTCTTACTGCACATTGGTTCTCACTGCAAAGGGATGTCAGAGCACACAAACTGGATTGTTTTGCTGAAACTAAAGGAGGAACTTTTATTACAGCATCACATCTAGTGGGCACCAGCCCAGTCCTCCCTGAACAGGATTGCTGCAGCTCTTGGCTTTTGAGCCCTGACTTTTCCACCACACAGATCCTCTTCCACTGTGCTTCAGTGACTACCAATGCAGCCAGCTGCAGGCATGTGAAGGGATTTTGGTGGGGAGACTGGGGGGTGTCTATGTCCAGACCTGCACTCTGAAAAACCCTTCACTCAGCTGTCAAATAAACCTGAGCTCCAGAATGATGCTATGATCCAAGTAGGCCCCCTAGAGACTTGGTGGGGTTTTTTTGGGGGGTTGTTTTTTTTTTTTTTTGAGGGTTTTATTTGGTAGGAGGTCTCAGAAAGTGTCTCACACAGTCCAAGGGTGTGAGAGCAGTACTGGCTGCCTTCTTTTAAATCCCAGAGGAAGCATTTCAAATAACCTTGACACCTCCCAAAGATGTGCAAGCCTTAAAGTTATTCCTGTCCAGCGGCAGCTCTCTTCAGAAAGTAGATAACGATGTACTGCCTCTCACAAAAGACACACCTGGCATTATTTTGCACATCAGAAAAAGCCAAGAAGGTCCTCTTATTGGGCATCTGCTTGCTTGCTGTGAGGAGCCCTTGCCCATTGCAAGACCTTGCCCAATCTGACTTGATTTAGGCATTTGTTTTGCTCCTAAGCCTGCAACTGCCTGATACCTGTAAGAGCTTTCTGACAGTCACACCATGCACTGCTCATGGACTCAACTACCTCAGCTATGGAAAAAGAAGCAGCGTACAAAAGGAAATGCAAAATATATTGGGATAGCAACACACTTCTTAGGACATCTTAGGGATATGACAGCTTTTGGCCCCTTACCTTTGGGCTGGTTTAATACTTGATGCATGTTGGCAGAGAGCAAGGATCAGAGCTCCTTGCTCCCTGTACCTCTTAGCTACAGAATAAGTCTTTTTTATTTTTTTCCCTCTACACTCCTGTAAGAGAGCTTTAAAAAAGGCTCCCACCTAAGCTATCTGATAGTTTGGAAGATATGGCACTGTTTTGGAAGAGGGAAGGTTGACCACTTTCAAGCTGGGTACAGTGCAATCTCTTCCGTTTCCTGAGTGAGTACTTCAGGATGTCATGTACGGACAAAGGGTTAGTGGGGTGAATGGGTGGAGCACACTGTGGCACCATTCCCTTCTCTATCTCTACCCAAGTGTTACATGAGAAGAAAGCATCTTGCTCGGTTCTTTCAAAGAAATGCACTTTCAAAGAATGGAGAGTGCATGGCTGGTCCTGGATAATTCCCTGCACAAAGATATGAGCGGTGGTTGTACGGGACCTTGCTTCAACTTGTTTTTGTCCTTAAAGTCCTCCCAAACTTACTGTCTCAGCCTACTCAGCACCCTGTTTTGAAATACATCCTTTGTTTGCCAGCACGCTTTCCAGGGGTAGACATCTCTCAGGGGTATATCTACTGTTGCAATGACTGATTTTTGAACACTTAGGTGAACCATTGGTCCCCTTTCCTGATTCCCACAAACATCACCTGTAACTTCATGTCTGCAGGAGCATCAGTTTCCAAGGACTGTGTAGAAGAAGAGTTCAAGAAGCATAGCTTCAGAGGCTGATTTTAGCCTTAGGAAGCTAATCTTATTCATAGGCCCCCAAAGAAACAGACTGCAAGTAAAAGAGAGTTTACCTTGAAAGCTAAATTCCTTTTTGTGAAGATTTGTGTGAGGAGGTACTTCTGACTAGAGGGTCGACCCTCATTAAGCCCTGTGTGTCTGGGTCTGCTGCGCTTTGCTGTCATAGGGAGAGCTCTGCAGGGAGAAGGGAAGGTGGCAAAGCAGGGGGCGGAACCGTGCAACATTGTTTTACTTCTGGGAACCACCAGTTGTGCAGCTCCTTGTATTGCCTTTAAGGAAAAAAAGATCAGATGAATTGAGAACTAAAAAAAAAAAAAAATCACAGCATATCTTAAATTAAAAAAATATATATTATTCACAATCTCCAGGAATAATTTATAACTAACAGAATGTAGTGTGTTATTTCGTTAACCATTGCTTTAAATGTGCATGGATTCTTAAAAATGAAACTCTTAATATATTTTAAAAATAAGTCTTATCATCTGGACTTCTCTGAAGCAGGTAAAGTAAAACACTTTTTATTTTAAGAAATATTGCTTCTAGACTTTCCCGAAGCCAGAATTGTTCTATAAAAGTATCACAGAAATATTATACAAGATTTAAAAACACAGTCTGTATCCTAGTAACTTAAAACCTATGTACAAATAGGACCATTCATGACCATAAATATGTTTTTCTATCAATCAGCCCATGACACACATATAAGATAAAGAGCTAGTAATTTAAACATATGTACAGAGTCCATCAAAAAGACTGCTTCATGAAATTATTAAAATCCTACTAAAAGAATTTCCTTTTTAAAAAGTTTCAACTTAAAATCCAATGCAATGAATGTAAGTTTAACCTGCAGTGCTTGCAATAGACAAAAGATGCTCACTACACTAAATAACGTGTAACAGATAGAAAACACACCTGTGAATTGGACACTATGGAATTACATCTGTTTGAGGTAATTCTCTTTTGATGTTGTTGTGCTAATTATTTAGAAATTTATTTAAAAAGTCAGGGAAGAGATTGAGTAATACAGATTTTCAAAGTAATTTTTGCATTATACTTTATAAAATTTAATGTTTGGTAAAGCTAAAGAAAAAATTTAGAATACAACAACAAAAATTTTCTAAACTACTGTTTTTTACCTGATGTGCCTTTTGATATCTAGAATAATGTAAATCTAATGTGATTGTATTATTCCCTTTAATGCCTGTTAAAAACAAAACAAAACAAAACAAAACAAAAAGAATTTCAGTCTCAAAATTCTAATAATGCTTTCAAGATCTTGTTCAGGATAATAAAAATCAGATGTGGTGACAAAAGTAATATGTATTGATGTAAACCTTTCTACCAGTATCAGCAAAAAAGTAAAAATCAAAAAACCTCATGGATTTTTAATACTGACAATATCAACATATAGGGAAAAAATCCAATTTAAACAAATACTCCTACAGTTAACAATCATTAGCCATACCTTTCTGAGAGTAAATTTAATTAAATCAAAATAACACAAACATGCAATATTTTTGCTAAATAATATTCAGGGAGCCTGCTTCCACAATCGATGCTGTTTACTTCTTTCCTGTCAATCTGTTTATTGGTTTTACAATTACATGAAACAATGAGCAAACTAAGAACATGTAAGGTATTAGATTCATAAATGGTATGGCATACAGAGTTTAAAAGTGCATTTTACTCAAAAGTCTGACATTAGGAATTTCCAGTGGTTAAAATAATTTATGGAAAAGACATTATGCAGACAGATGATTGGGTGGACTGAAACATTTATTCATGGTTGGATCATTTGGACATAGAGAAAGTAACTTGAACATCCTCTTCAAAGATAATTTTTAGTTTTCAGAGAATGTGCTGCTGCATTTGAAAGTTAACACTGTTTCTTTTCATCAAAAACTGGAAATCTGCTTCCAGTGGGGAGAATTATTGTGAAAATAGGTGTGTGTGAATAAAACAAATGCACAAATACTGAACTGGGCTCAATTAAGCTGCAAAACGTATCTACAATAAACATGGAATGAAAAAGGAGAACTTATTTAATGGTTTACAACTTGATCTAATCCAAGGAGAGTGGAGCTGAGGCACTGCCTTCTGCATTTTGGATTTGTGAAGTTTCCCTTGCAAGACTATGTTCCATTTTTTTTAAGAAAGTTCCTGTTTTCTGGGTACTGATAGATGAATTCCTAACGGATACGTTTACAGCCTGATGAACAAGGGGTTCATTGGACCTCACGGGAAGATATATTTGATCTTTAAATATATCTTCGACAGCATCACTGTCCTGATGAGTGTCTTTTTCAGAAATGCTGATGGGTTGTAGCATGAAACTATGCCGAGACTCCAACTCTATCAAACCGTTTCCACTGAAATCCATGTCAAAAAGGTCCGATTCTTTATCCTCTGTCCATTTTTCAGCTTGATGATTATTTCTCCAGTGTGCGTCATTCAAATGACTTTTCTCAGGAATATCATTGTTTAATTCAAGTTTCCTCTCCTGACTTAAATTCACTGTGCTCAAAGCGAGGGCTGCAAAGTCCGTTGGCACAATAAGCTGCAACTCTTCTGCAGGCAGGCCGCTCGATTCTTCAGCAGAAGTCATTTCCACCAAGGTAAAGGATGTGGATGATTCGTCCCCATCCCTGTTGCTTTGAGCAGTGTTAGCCTTGTCTGTTTTATTTTGCTGGTAGTAACTGTTCAGCAGTGCAAACATTCTATCTACATCCTTCAAGTAATTAGTCCAGTCAGCCAGACTAAGTCTATAGTTGTGTCTGTATTCATATATGCTTTCATTCACACTGTACAAGTCTTCCAGTCCTTGCCACTCGATGTTGCCAGTGAAACTGGGCAGGTTAGCCTTCCCATCCATCCCATAACTGTCCTCTGTTGAAAGAAAGAATAAAGCCTAATGGTGAATACCAGCTTAGAAGTGCAAGCAAAGCTTCCACATGTGTTTCTACTCCAATTTGCTTGAAAGCACTGCTATACATAATGTATGTAGCTCAAGATGCAAGATGCTCCACGTCTTCTGTCATCATATTAATGATTCTGGGCTCAGGTGTATCCACAGCTTCTGCTAAACACACAGCAAGAAGCTCCCTGTCTTCTGCTACATCCTTGGACTGAGTGAAAAAGAGCAAAATCTGGTCTAATGGGGCTTTGTGATGACTGTCAGAGATAAATCTTCCCTCTGATATTTCAAGGCAGAAAAAGTGCTTCAATACATGAATAATCCATTTGCCTTTCCTGAACACTCCACCAAAATATGGAATAAATGAACAATGCTTAAGTGTAAAAGATGGGACTAACTCTGAAAGTCATTAGTGACCTGAACTTTTAACAACACCCACAGGAATTTGGTGTCTGGGTAGCTTGAGACATATGGTCTACAAACCAACCAGACACATTTTATTTAATAACTGATAGCCAAAGGTAGTTTATTTACTTTGTAAACATTCAATTTAATTTACATGGACCAATTAGGAGAAATAAAAGCTGTAAAAACTTGGTGTGAATTAATTTATAGGACAGCACCACTCTGTAAAATAATGTTAAAATATACATAGTTTTTGTTTTTTAAAAAAGCTTTCAAAGAAAATCTCTAACAGCCTTATCAAATAATAAGTTTGAATAAAGGGCATACATATGAGTTGGTAAGTAGCAATGGAGCTGCATTTTATATTGATGACAGCCAGAAAAATTAAAGACATGAAGGAAACCCATTTCCAAAAGATTTTTAAAAGTCACTACAGTGAATAGAGTGACCCAGATTATCAAATGTAGCATGAAATTTTATATTGACAAGTAACACTGGATAGCACTATTTCATCTAATTCATTGCACAGACTGTGTTCAGTCCAAAGATTTTATCAACAAAGTGGACTATAAGGAAAAACTAATCAGGTAATGCAAAAGCCTGACAGGAAAAGTGGCAAATTTGTCCTTACAAATTATGTTGTAGGCAATATTTAGTAATTAGTTCACTGAGATGACTTACTGTCTTTAGAAATTGTACAGGCAGGCAGGCTAAGAGTAATTACCTTAGAAGTTCAAGTGGCTACAGTCCAACAGCATGAACATTGTTCAAGTAAAAGAGAAGACACAACTTCTGTCTGTCATAGCTTATATTCTTTGCTTCTTTACTTACTAGCTTGGGATTTCACAGTGGAAATAATTTCTCCACTATTTACCCCATCATATGGAAAGTCAGAAAAATACCATTATGGTCAGATAAAGACTTGAGATTTTCTTATGATGAGGGGTCTTATTCTGCACCAAAGGGAGACCTCTTTCCTTACTTGGAAACACCTGAATCTTTAATCTTAATTGATATTTCTTCACCTAATATGACAGCTGTAAATATTTTGCAATTTCAAATGTAAATACTTTTAAAAAAACAAGTTCTAGAAATGGTTTTTTTTGCAGACACTTGGCGAACTCCCTCTTACAGGAGGCAACACAAGCTTTTTGGATCTGATAGTACAGCTATGGCAGAGCATCTTCTTTCTTTTCCTGAAGCAAACAAGAGAAAAGAAATCATGGCATGGCCACATGAGAGCCATCTTCATAAGACAAATTATGGATAATTTGTTTCCTGAAAGAAAAAATAATTAAATACTGCAGAGGTTTCAAGAAAAAAAAAGTTCTACTATTCCAGCCTTTAGAGGAACAAAGGGCCCTAGAAAACATCATAGGAAGGGTTGAATTTTTGAGGAATTGAGTCACCAAACCCTCAAAGATATAAACCACACAATATTGAAATTTTGTTCTGTTATTATTTGTATTGATAGTTTCATGTTTTTTTTTTCTTTGCCAAATCAGATCCTGTATAGGAAAACAAACTGCTGTAGGAAAGTCAGTGACCAAAGTGGTTTGGTATGTGATGGCAGAAACTGAAACTGGAGTGCTGCCGCTTGGTCAGTAACAGGTTTGGTGTTGGGCCAGGGCAGTGGGGGGCAGAGCAGGGGCCAGAAAGGTGCCTTTAGGCCCAGAGGAGCCTCTGCTGCCTGTCCCAGGCAGTGGGACAGGGGGTTGAGCCAGGCAAGCCTGAGTGTCAGGGTGGGTGGTGGTAAGGTCTGGGGACCAGTGAGGAGGAGCAGGTTTTCTCATCAGCCTCAGCAGTAGGGCAATGGGGCTGTGCTGCAGAGAAGTAAGATTCGCGAAGACTTTGGTGTATTCCAGCAAAACAGCTCAAGGAATGTCAGAGCTACATGGTCCTTTGTGCTGAATCTGTAACTTGCCCTCTAAATGTGGCACTGTTTCTGCAGCTTCAGAGGAGTTTCACAGCTGGGAAGGTGCTGCGAGTTGTTCTGTGATCTTCATGTCAAGCGAAAGAAAATGTTTAAACACTTGGGGCAGAGGCAACTTGCATTCATACATGTTAAACAAATAGCAAAGCAAAATCTTAAGGTCCTAGAGCTGGTTGTATGTTGGTTGACTGAGCAAGTCACCTCACAGCTTAATTCCACAACTTAGGAGTAAGCATGAAAAGTTTCCCACTGAAATCAAAGTATACAGGGGGAAGGAGTAAGGAGAGAAAAGGATTTCTGCTGTAAGAAATCTCATTACAAATAGGTATGAAATGGGAAAGTGCAGATGAGTTGCATTTGAGTAACAGCATGGCAGTGGTTTCCTCGATCAGTATTTTGGAATCTCTCAGCTATGTCACAAACCCAACAGAGAGAAAAATTGTTGCTAACTGTTTACAGTAAAACATCATCTTGTTTTTTCAAATCAAGCATTAGCTAAGCTTCCTTCTCCAATTATCGTAATTCAGAGTCCCATGATGCCATCTGTGGCTGCATTGTCCCAAAACTAATAAGGGATCTGGATATATTTCCACTGACACTACAGATAAGCAGGTACAATCATCTCCTTAGTGGCTTTGAAGACCCTCAGACATGCAGAAGAGATAGGAGAGTGCAATTCCCACATTCAGTTATCAGCCATGGCTGCAGAGTCATGTTCCATTTGTCAAAGAACCCACAGGTTCTTCCCTGTGGACGCTCTCTCCCTATGTGTTAAGCACACAGCACTATACTGGCTGTTTCCATACAGGGCTGTTGTCCCAATACTTGTAACACCTGCAGCGCTGTACTAACTCAGGATGCTTTCAGCTGGAAACAGGTCTGAGTGGAGAACCTACACTGTCTGAAGGAAGCCTAAGGTGTAGTTCAGATGACTCAGTGGCATGGGGCTTTTCCTTTCTTATTCCATTGGTTCCTCTGCAGGCATCAAGAAAAGGATCCTCTAAGGGATCCTTTTAACAATTCCTGAGAAACGTTTTCTATTAATTTTATAGATGTTTTTTGTTAGTTTTAGAAAAAACCCAGCAATTTCCACCAGGATGGGGCATGAACTAAAATGTTGAACTTGATCAGCTGCATATACTGAGAAACTGGGTGGCTGAAATGTAATGGCACAGAGCATATCACTTGTGTTATACTATACATGCTATTTATCCTGGTAGCAGAATGGTTACTGACTTGGTGGTACCAGAAGTTAAAATGTCTTCATTGCTAAACAAGGTACTAAAGATTAATCCTGTGTGCTCTACTATTTCATGCATTCCTACAATTCAAAAATACCATTTCTGTTAGATCTGTAGTTGAACCGAATGCTTACAAGGATGTCTTGTAATGAAATACTTAAAAGCATAATTATGGGGATTAATTTCTATCATTGTAGTAACCCGTTCCCACCAGATTGTAGCGAGCAATGCAAACAACTGGGATATAACCAAATGAAAGCTTATAGTTTTCCTAGGTACCAAAACTACTCAAGTGAGAAAATACAAAATTGTCTGCAAGGAAAAATTAGCTGCTTAAATTGGAGATCTATAAAATATTGAACTACATTGTCATAATTGTTCCCTGCCTGCTGGGAGCTAAGGACAGGTTCTTTCCAGAAGACCCTGTGAAAAAGAAGTTTTATGTAGACTTGTATACTCCTTGGATCCAGTTTACATCTCAGGCAAATTATGTATGTAAGAAGCTACTCCACCAAAGTGAGATGAAAATGTATAAAAGTGATATACCATGAGAAGACATCAAGTCTAAATATGACACTTGAGAGACTTCTTCTAATCTGTTTTTTCCCCTGAGTTCAAGCATTGCTCACTGAACAGCAAGTACAGTACTGTTAAGACCTGAGTTTTGCTTTATGTTTGCCAGGTTCCTCCGCCAGGAGGAAGTGGGCTCTGCATGACAAGCATGTAGGCATGACAAGTACACTTGCAGATAAATATACTTGCAAACAGTAGTCTTCCATGTATTCCTCAAGTTCAAACATTAGATATAAAACCCCTCACTTGGTGCCCTTCCTCAGTTCAATATTACAAGCTTTTTAAGAAGTTTAATTTCATGCCTCATCTTTCTGCCACACTTAACTGTCTCCTGCTGGCATCTGAGCACATGCTGCTCACATTGAGCACTGCTTTTGATAAAAGTAGCACCCACCAACATTTCCTAAAGCCAGTGAGAAGGTTTGAGTAGGCTCTTTGGATACACATACCTCAGAAAGCTTTTTAAGCACATTTGGGTTATATTTAAAAAGCAGCTGTACAGACTTCCTAAATAAAACCAGAGAAACAACCCAACCATCCAAAATCAACCCAATGACAGGAAAACAACCCAAAAGAGGTGGTGCTTTTTGTGTCATTTTCCCTTTGTAAACATCTAAGAAATACAGGCATGAAATATGAGCTGTATGAAATCTTGCTATGACAATGAGCTACATTAAATGCAGAATGGTAGATCTAAAAAACAATGACCAAGTTCAGTGTAGAGTAGTTAGAAAATGCATGCATCAAAAGCTATGCTGTGTGCGCAACATGGCAGGATACAGACATTAGTTGAAATGGACTGGAGTCATGCAATTATTTGGAAAGAAGCTGCTGAGGAGAATAAAAAAGTGTGGATACCTGTGTGGATCATAGCTTCCTCCATCTTTATTTCCTGATATAGGAAAATACAAGAGTAACTTTTGTTAGTGTTTAGAACTTGTAAAACCATTCACAATGTAGTTTTCCATGCACAGCATCTAATTCCTAAAAAGAAATGTACTGTGTTAAATGAAGACAGAGCTGCAGTCCAACAAAGATTTCCTGGAAGTTTTATATAAAAGAACTGAAAAACCACTGTTTTTCAAAAATAATAAAACCCCCAAACAATTAGATATTGTAAAAAAGAGAAATATTTATAGGTGAAGAAAGAGATACAAAGATGCAACAACACAAAATATGTAGAAGAGAATATTCCTGTAAAAAAAATCACAATATTCAATTAACCAAATTTACAAGCAATGAATTCCAGACTTATGAAGTATAGGTAACAGCTATTTTTGTACTTTTGTAGCGAAGTACTGCTTTCCTCAGAAACGGAGGGGACTACTGCTGATTAGAAGTTTGCAATGTTAAGTCTTGTGGTGCAGAGCCTGAGGCTGTTCATATAGGTAGACAGCAATTGGAATAAACACAGGATTGAATACCTCATCTGCTACTGGGAGGCAAAAACTAACCAAATAAATCCTGCAACAGAGAAAAGTCCTATGACTATGAAGACCTGCATATGCTTGTTACTGATTAGCTCAAATAACATTGAGTTACCACCTTTCTGCAGCATTTCTGTCAAATCTTGTTGTTTGCCATGAATATCTGTCTAAAATAAACTGTGCAGATTTGCAAGGAAGCTTCCTGGTCATGCGGTTGTATAGGAAGGTGTATGTGGATCATTCCAAACTATTCAGAGCAACACTTAGGAGAGCAATGCTTCATTGATACAATTAGTATTTAAGCAGATAAAAATAAATTCAAAGAATTGAAATAAACACTCTCTTCTATTTTTCTTGTACCTGTTTCAAGTCCCTTTGGCCTCGGATTGCACTGCTTGTAACCTTGACAACTTCGCAGTTCCATTAGCTGTACGTGTAATTGATTCAAAATGCCTCTTTCCACTGTGTGTACTGTATTTGTCAGCTGAGAAAAAGAGGAACAGAGGGAAAAAATACTTGTTAACAAAAGTAAAAAAAAACCTAGAGGAGTCTTGTGAACAACATTTTGTAACAGGGAAAGGAGTTTACCTGATAGGGATCAGTGTTCATATCGAAATATTCCAAGAAGCCAGTTGCAAATTCACAAAAGAGAAAATTGTGGGTGTCATTAACTGTTCGCAAACACCAGTAAGTGTTGTTATTTGAGCTCGTGCAAGCACAGAAAGAGCCCACTGTAATTAAAGAAACAAGTTATTAGTTTTAAGAGAAAAATAATATGCTTGTTTCTTCTGCTAGTGAAACTTTACTATAGATTTTCATGTACTTAAATTACAGATCAAATAAAAAAATATTAAATTTGAATAATGTTAGATTCTCATCTAAAACTGAATAAATGTTGCTAATGGAATTTTCACAAACATGCAGTTGAAGAAAGCAGAAGATAGTGAATCCTATAGTTAATGAGACACTTTCTATTTATGGGGACTGAGCAGAATTCTGACTTTACAAAACAACAGCACAAATCCTGATCCTTAAGATTTGTACAAAACAAGATACATTGGAGTTGCTTACTATACATAAGAGTACCATTTCCCCCAACAGTAAGTGACCTTAACCAAGTAGAACCTCTGAGATACAAGAGAAAATTACAGAAGTGTAAGCACTCAGATTGCCAGTGAGATGGAAATGTCACAGCAGTCAAAAGAGCATGAGGCAGTGTACAGGAATGAGGCAAGTGAGAGAGATGAGGCAATGAAAGTGAGAGAGTTAGGGTTTGCAAGCAGGGAGCTTGCCTGGCACTTGAATGCAGGAAAAATGAAAGAAGCAAGGTGGGAAGGAAGACCAGTGGATAATCCTATGCTTAATTTTAAGCAGATCTCCCTTAGTGGCTTGAGTTTTCCTAGGGTAACCACTTAACTATTATTTTGAACTGCAATCCCTCATTTTGTTTATTTGGTACACAAATAGGAGGGAAATTGAATTGTTCAGTCAGGCCTTTGTAGGACAATCCCAAGCAGTGTAACTGGATTACATCTTGTTTTCACTTTTCAGAGAATCATAGAATTATAGAATGGTTGCAGTTGGAAGGGACCTTGAAGATCATCGAGTTCCAACCCCCCTGCCATGGGCAGGGACACTTCCCAATAGACCAGGTTCCTCAAAGCCTCATCCAGCCTGGCCTTGAACACCTCCAGGGATGGGGCATCCACGGCTTCCCTGGGCAACCTGTTCCAGCGCCTCACCACACTCACAGTAAAAAACTTCCTCTTAATATCCAATCTAAATCTACCCTCTTTCCGTGAAACATAATTCCTGTGAAATATTTGGTCATCTTGATCTTCAAGAGATGACACAAATCTCACTGTCTGGTTACAGAAGTCTGTGTTTTAGAGACCAACTCTCCTTTTTGTTTCTGCAGTGTTTAGCATCAAGCCTCCTGTAATAATTTCATATAAATAAGTAGTGCAAGAATTACAAGCACAGTGAAGTGCCATTCTTCCTTCATACTTCAGAATACCAGCAGCAGCAGCATTACTAAATCCCAGTTCTTCAAAATAATGCTCTAATTGCATTAAGTGGAAACTCTGTAACACAGCAGAATAACCTAGATCATATCAGCACGTGGACATAAAGACTTACAGTTCCAGAACGGTGCTGTTTGCCAGTGGTTGTTGTCGTGGGTAAAACACGTCAGTCCAGGAAGACTACACTCATCTCCTTTCTTCTGGCGCTTTTTCCCCTTCCTTTCCTTCTTCCTCCTCCGGTTCTCTTTGAACAGCTGCAGTTTGCCATCCACTTCCTGTGCTGCTTCTCTGTTCAGAAAGAAAGTTGGGCACAGCTAACAAAGAATAGTCTCAATTTGGTTAACAGCACTAGCAGTTTTTACATCTTTCTAGCTTTTTTAAAGATGAGAGGATGAGATTGTGCCCTTCTTCTAGCTCAGCTTCCACTCAGCTGTTATGACAAGGTGTTCTGGTCAGTAAGCATGAGAAAGGATGCACTATTGTGGTTAGGTTTAAATGGATCTTTTTAACCATCATGGTCAGTCAGCTTCTGAAATGATTATTTTTCTATCAATATGTTTTATAAATATTATCCATAAACCTTCACAAGTCTGTCCAAAACTACTGAAGGCTTCTTGTGAGAGCTTGCTATACGTGATCATTTCTTTCCCTCACCTCCTCCCTTCCCCTCTTCACAAAAAAACCCCTGAAGCCCCAAAACTGTATTCCTCCAGTCACTAAAAAGCCAGCTGAGAGAGTGAGAGGATAGTAACAATCTTACTTGAAGGGATGAAGATGGGTCTTGAGTTTCTCTTGGGCTTTTACCCCTTTCTCTTTGTTGTAATAGCTACGGGGAAAATTATTAGGAGTTATCAAGTCATGAAACCTTTTTCAGCACAAAAACAAACCAGAAACATACCAATTTTGACATTTTCTTAAGGAACTACATGGAATAACTTAAGATTTTAACTTCATTTAAAGAAGTTATATCTGTGCGAGTGGTCCTATGCTAGATCACAGCAAAACCACAGCTGGGTTCAAATATGTTAGTAGAATACAAACATATTTAATCTTAAAATTTTAACATTTATCTTCTTTTGATTCATAGTAGCTTCTACTCTTGAAAGGGATCTAACTAAAATGAGTGGTTATAAATATCAGTAAAGCTTATGTTCTTTCTTTTCCATGTCAAAAAACTTGGAAAACATGTAAGCCTTAGCAATCAGTGTAGCTTTCAGTGTTGAATGCCGTCTCTCTTACCTCTGTTTACTGCAATCACATTCATCTGGTTTTCTTCTTTTCAGATGTCCCCTAACTTCCCTCAAATTCTTAATTTTGTCTTGGAGAGCTTCAATCTGTAGAGAGTATTTCTGAGTCAGAATTATTATTTGAAAAGTTAGGAGTGCAAAGACTTCACTCAGATTTTAAAATACCTCTTACCTCCTTATCAATGTAAGCCTTGTGGTCCTTCCAGGCTCTGGCAGATTGGTACAGCTCCCTCTCACAGTGAATAGTGTCATTTGGAAGAATAAAACATCTGTAGACATGAGTTTAAAAAATAGGAAAAAGAAGGTCAGTGGTTTCCCAACTGCCAACCTATTTCTTCTCTTTCTTCTAACATTCCTAATCAATTCTTTGTTATACTCTGTTAAGAAATAAAATCTACAAGGTCTTCTCATGTTGACTTCATAATATCAATAATTACTTCAATCTGTTTTCTTTGTAAAATAAAAAAAAATCCTCATTCATGACAGATGCTCTGGGCCCACTAAGTAAAAACGCAATGGCAATGCCATCTTGGAGATTCTTAATCCAATCAGAAATGAAATTGAAACAGAAATAAAAATCTGTTCAGAATTTAAAGCCTCTTGTTAACCAAATGCACCATTTCTTATTTAACCACCAGCTGCTGAGAAATATATTCTTCTTGCCACATGAATGTGACACATCTTCTAAATATACAAAACAGTGAAGAACAGAATAGACAGCCAATGGGCTAGAGATCACTATAATCAATAAAGATCAAGAAGAACCAAAGTTAGAGAAAAGAGTTCAAAGAAGTGGTTAAAAAAAACGCTAACAGAACACTCAAAAACTGCTGAAATTACAAAAGATTCATATTAGAGCTTGAAAAGACAGCTGTACCAAGACTGGAAAAGCATGGAAGGCCAAGGAAGCAGACTAAGATAGAAAATCCAGCAGATTACAGGCTGGGCTTTCAAAGTTTTCAGGTTGACAAATGGAAATTCCTCAGTTAAGAAAATATTCCAGTTTTATAGACACAACCTTTCTTGGGTTCTGCTTCATCAAAATCCTTCTTTCAATTTTTGAGACTAGTAGTAGAAAGGAAGATTTAGATGCTTATTTCTTCCCAGGTTCTCATATTATGTTTTTTCCTCACTCAAAGAATTCAGAAAGCAATACTGTATTCAGTAAAACTCAAAACACTTCATGGAGAAATGATAATTTTTTCCAGAAAAGCATTTAAGACTTTATTAATGCAATCGCTGGAAAGTATCAATGTAAGAAGATGATAATTTTTCACTTATTCAAAATTGATGTTTATGTTTTCCTTGATGTTTTTGGGGAAAAAATAAGGAAGAAAATAGAGAAATGTATTTATATTGTAAACACAATAAAAATGTTAAAATAGAAAATTTTTGGTTGCCTACATCTGCCTGGCTTTTCAGATCAATCATATTAGCTTTTTTAAACAAACAAATAAAAACCTGACATTTTTGCTTTTTCATTGAGATTTAGGTTAGGGGTAAAAATTGAAATCCAGGCATCTTCCAGGATGGGAAAATGATTGTGGATCGCTTCAGGGATAAATGGGTCCAATGTATCTTAGCTACTGTTAGTGGCTGCAAATGACCAAGCATTAAGAAAGATGATGTAAGTGATCTAATCTGTCCTTATTTAGAGTGTGATTTCAGCTGTCTCAAATTTAGGCCTCTACGCTAAGCTGGTAGACTAGAATTTATAAAGAACAGCGGGAGTGTCAGCTTCACAGGGTGATTAATCCATCATAAGGTGGATGCTTCAATATGGAGGATGAATCTCCCTCTGGAGATGCCTACTCTTCCTCGGAAATAAAACCTAAAATACTTGTCTCCCTTTCAAATACACATACTGAAGTTAAATTATTCCATCTACTAAGAAGTACAACTCAGGTTTAACTAAAACCTACAATGAAAGTTCTAAATTTTTAAATATTGTGACCATAAAATCATAAAAAATGGTGAGAGAGAGAATACAATTAGAAAACAAATATTTCATTTTAAGAAAAAAAAAAACCACAGAAAAAGCAATTGTACTTGTGTGTCACTCTGACAGAGTTGGGTTGACCTGTGGCATCAGTGCCATCAGCGATCATTGTGTCAGCAGGAGCACCATCGGTTTCCTCTGCTTGTCCCTCATTTTCAGCATTGTGACGCTTGGTGATACTTTTGGTCTTTAACACCTGCAGTTCTTCCTCTTCCAGATTTATGTCATATATTTCACCTTCAAATTCCACGGACAAGGACCGGGTTTGGCGAGTGTGAACAAATCGGGGTTTGTATTCTGAAGAAGAAAGAAACATTCCCAGTTGCATATACATATCTACATGAGACGTGCCATGAACACACAGCATATTCCAAAGAGCAAGAATGCTGTTCAGTAAAAACACCTTTTTTTTTTTTCTCTGTGGCTTTACAGAAACTTATTTAGTGCTTTTTTGATACATTGAGGCCCACACTTTCATCTGTAGCATGAAATTTTGATTGCTTCAAGATTTGCATTTCACGCTAGTCTAACCTTATGCCACAGTAAGCATCTATATCCACAAGTAAAATCCATATCTTAGAAATCAGATATCTAGAAAGATACTCAAAAAAACAGAGACCACAGGATTAGAAACCACTTTAGAAGATTAAACCATTCAGTACTGTGAAAGAAGGTCACCACCTGTAAATTAGCGTGTGACATAAGTTTGACTTCAGAATAAAAATTACTTCGTAAAAGGGTAAGAGTCTTTCCTTTTTAAAGGCAGGCATTAAAAGGGCACGAATCCACCATACATCAGTATATCTATATACGTACAAATACTTCAACACACACATCATCCATATCTATGTGTGCAAGTCATAAACTGCCAAAAAACTTGCTGCGTTGTAGAGCTACAGTGAGATTTACTGTGTCACTTCTACCTGTTGAAAGCTCTGAGCTTAGTAGGGTCACAGCTCTTTTAGTTACTGTCTTGGAGTTTTGCAAGTACAGATGTGTATATGAGTCAGATTAACTGAGACAATTAATTCTTTGAGGGTTTTTTATGTTATGTACAAAAATAGCTGTGTTTGGGCTCAATCTGGAAGATCTTATGCTTTTTACTTCTTTTGCTAAATGCACCTGTCCCAAATCAAGCTGATAAAACCCACAGTAAATACCACACTAAAGCATATTCTATCTACAAAACCACACACACAGAGCCCTAGAAATACGCATTTCAGCTTGTAAAAATCAGTTGTAGGACATTTCCATTTGTCACATCTATGCTGAGCACACCTTTGTCACTTAACACTTAGTAATAATTCATGCAACAGAATAAAATGGGAGATCTAAGAAAGTACTGCCTTTTGCAGGTAGCGTCAGTTCTTCTGCAATTTTTATGTTAGTGTCATTGAGAGGCTCACACTGAACCTTTCCCACAAGAATCTTTTAGAAGTGCAGATAGTGAGCCTCATTCAACTCTTCATTCAAATCACCCTGTCCTCCTAAAGTATTTCAGTAGTTACCTGCTGTCGGGTGAAAAAAGGCTTCCCAGTCAAGTCAATGAAGACACCCTAGTTTCAAAGCATCTTTCTGATTTATAACCATATTACTCTTTAATAGAATAATGCAGAAAGATTCATAGGGTCAGATGGGACAATTTCTGGCATTGTAACAGTCTCTGATGATACTTATTAATCAAGTCACTGAAAGAGCCTGGAACATAAAAGCATCTTATCCAAGTGTCATCTAAAAATTGAGTCCTGAACTAGTCATTCCCCTAGCAATGTCTCGTCATCATGAGCCTTTCTCCGTGCTACTCAGATGATTGCTAAGGTGGATTTGAAGGAGGAGGAAGGAAGGAATAAGAATGTGGTAAAGAAGGAAAGCATAACAAATGGACTTTTTCTAGTGTCCCCTTCAGATGTTTTCCATACTTCCCCTCTTTCTCTCCCCGTCACTCCCCCTGACCCCCAGTTGAAATCCCCATTCAGCACTTGCTGTTATGCTGGCAACACCTTCTCTTTCCAAGGCAAACAACAGGTATCTGCCCTTGAAAATATTACTTAGGGGAACATTCCCCAGTTTGAGAATCACGCTGGCAGTCAGTGACAAGTATACTTTTCAGCAGAGGTCTGTCTATACACACTGAGAAGTTCCCTAGATCATACTAAACAAATGGAAGAAATTATATCAAGGCAGTATTTAGTCTTAACAATGAGACAACTCAAGACAGACAATATTGTGGTTGAACGTACAAAGAATACCAGGGATTCTTGTTCACATCCAGAGTGGGGGAGGCTTTAAATCAGGAAATATTTTGAATTATACTGACATTCGGAGACATCTGTGCAGCATCTTCTAACTTTTGCATTTCTCATATGACTTAACTATCTTCCTGCTTTAAAGACCCATCTTTATTTCATTCCCCAGTCTAGTGTTCTAGATAAAGAGCAGGAGAACACAGCCTGCTCTTGAACAAAGTCTGAAATCCAGGTCCCCTTGTATTGCTATAGCTACAGAACTTCACTCTCCTCGCTGGGCAGATAGATGAAAATACTTGTTCCGTTTACAATAATGGCTTCTTTAAACAGGATTCTTTTGTAGAAATCATTAGCAGAAACAAATCCAAGCACAGCTGTCCCAAAACCCTCTTGTACATGCCCTTTAGCCCATACTCCACTAGAGGACACTGCAATCTCACTCGTGTACCTGCGGGAATCTCAGTACTAACTTGCTGGAAAATCACAGCCCAGCTGAATTTCAGTCCCACAGCAGACACAGTGCTGCAGCGCCCCAGGACAGATGTCTTTGGGATGTCACCAAACAGCATGTGAATTCAGTGTTAACAAGGCAAGAAAACATTTGCTCTGGCCATCTAGCAAATAACTGCACCGAGACATCCGCAGATGCCACCAGGTTGTCAGGTCTGAGCAGCGCAGTAGGTGGCACCAGAACACCACCACCGCCACCGTAAAGACTATTCCTCACTGCGATCCAAAGGATAAAAATCGGTGTGTTATTAGTATTGTTATTACAGCGGCAGTTATGTAGAACCTGCCAATTACAGGTGTATTCAATAGACACGGAGGTGAAAACAAGAGTGTACTGGTAAACCGACACTCTGCCATCCGTTTTCCCCACTCTTTACCTCAGAGTCCAAGAGATCAGATAACACTTCGGTAAACCGACACTCTGCCATCCGTTTTCACCACTCTTTGCCTCAGAGTCCAAGAGATCAGATAACACTTACTTTGCACATTAGGGTTTCTCAAAAACTGTCTTTGATTTTTTCTTTGGGTCCTGCTGTTTCGGTAATCAGTGTCTCCACAGTTGCAGTCTTTGTCTTTACTGCTGTATCCCCGGGAGTGTATGCTGCGGGTCCTTTTTCTGATGGCAAGTATGTCGCTAGATACCTTACACTTGTGAATTCGAAGTTTGCCAGAAGCATCCTCTGTGCACTGCCACTTCTGTGTGAGAGAGAAACAAAGATGATTTCCCAGCAGCCTTCCAAACCCCTGCTACTTTCAGGTGGGTTGTAAAACAACACAGGCAAATTTCTTTAAAAATTAAGCAGTCCCTTAAATAACAAACTGAGAAGGGAAACATTTTAAGGCACTAAATTCACTCACATTCTTCTCAACATCTCCCTCATGCTAAGTAAACATAAGCTTGAATGAAATCACTGCAAATCTGCATAAAAAAATACAACCCAGCCAAAAAAGATATATAAATCAAGAGTATCTAGACTAAACACATCCCTGAAAGGAGCAAGTTAAATGTCTTAATTTACTGAGCCACATGTCAGATGTCAGGGCTGTTTTCACCAACTCTTTTTCTTTAAAAAAAACAAACTTCTTTTCTTTGTTCTGTGACTTGAAATTTCTAACATGATTCAGGGGAAAATAAAAAATCCCCACAGATGAAGAAGAACTGGTTCAGTCATAGGGTTCCTTGGAAAGAGAAGGACAAATTGGGGATGTGATTTATAGAAAAATACATAAACCACTAACAACATGTAATTTATTTCCTTAACATTGGCCAGAGTTAGGACCTGCACCCTAAGACATGCCCCTGCAAACCTGTGTCCACTCAGACCTGTGGACATTGCTGGCTCTTTTTATTTTACATGAAAAGGGAGAAGCCTGAAAGCACAGTAAGCCCAGCCAGCCTCCCTACACCCAGCAGGTGCGAGCGAGGGGAAGAACCTTAGGGACAGTAAATGAACAAATCATACAACTATCACTCTTAGGAGAAAAAGGAGCAGTCTGGAAGGAGTACCTGTAAAAGGCATTGTACATGTGCTGAATATCAGAGCAAGTGTGGGAGAATGAGAGGAAACAGAGTTTTTTCCAGCTTGTCTGCACAATATCTGTCTGACTTGATTATCAACATCACTGAACCAGACGGAAGATCCTGGGTGGATTTTTCCAGTGGATCCCACTGTCTTCACATTTCAAATTAAAAGCAACTGGAACTATAATTTCTTTTCCACATCAAACTGTCTTAAAAATGCTAAATGCAATTTTTTTAAAAAAACATGGGTAGGTGTTGACAGATCAGAGCTCCTTTGTCCATGTCCAAATCCTGCCATATAAGGCACTTGGAACACATGAGCTAAGAAGCCTGTGAAGATTTTAAGTTGGTTGTAGTCTGAATAACAACAGGGAGAACTAGTAAAAGCTATGTTTATTTAAAATTTTAATATAACTATAAATGGCTGTTACCCAGTGAGTTTTGTTCACTTGTGCATCTTAAGTCATAACGACCAGAGTTTGCATACAAAGCAGTTAAGCTTGGCTGGATAGTGTAGAAAACAAAACTCAGTAATGCTATTGATAAGTGGAACCTTTTAATTGCAGTTTCAGATAAGTTTCCCTATAACGTGTCCTTTTTTTGGTTCCCAGGACTGAATAGTGTAGCTTTCTCTTGCTTCATTAATAATAGCAAGACAGCTAGATGCCGGACCTAATGGAGTCTGCAACTTAATTTTTGAAATGGACACTAATATCAGAGCATACATGTTTCAGTAAGTCTCTTCCATTAGCTAATGGCTGCTCTGGACTGTTTTGGGGTGGCTGTCAAGCTGACTGAAGAACGAAGAAAGAAAACTTAGCCTCAGGTAGATTTGCTGATCTGATAACCTGAGCAGTGAGCTGATGTGGTTCTGAACCACAGCAGCGTGAGAACACTCTCTGTGGTAACACATGGGCTGAGCTAAAAGATGGGTCCCATGCTCAGAGACCTTGTGCGTGGGTTGGCCTGAGTCTGATCCCAGAACAGTAAACCATGTGTAAAAGGACACAGACTTACACAAGTCTGATGGCTGCCTGAGAAATTACACTCTTGCCCAGACTTTAAGTGTAAACATACACCTACAAGTGACAAAGTGACTTTCTACAAGTAAAGGTATCCGAGAGCTATGAAGCTTTGCAGGATTTTATGCTCCAACAGCATGTGCACTTGTCCTACTGCAGCAAGAGAAGATTGTTACAGGATAAGAGCTGACTGCACCACTCTATTTCCTGTGTTTATTGGGTATGTGTTACATTTATAAACATATGGCACTAGTTTTTAATGAGACTCAAAACCACCATTTTAAAGTAAAATAAGTCTTCTCTTTGTCTAACATTAATTATAGCAAGAGGTTCCAGGAGTGGCTTCAATAGCAATTTAGACAGTTTTTAACAGTATTATGACTAACATTGAAACAAGACTGTCTGTGTCTAGTACAAACCAATAAGAGTTCTCTATTTAAAACAGGGATTAAATGTTCCTCTTATTTTTAAAAATATATTTTACTTTAAAAAGTGTAATTTTAAAGATGCTTTGGAATTCTAGGCTGGAATTTTTAGACTAACTTTCCTGAATCCCTGCCCATGCCAGCATAATTTGGCACTGAGCATGCATTATGCAGTAAGTCATAATGGTCCTTCTGCTCATTTTTAGATCTATAAAATGCATTAATGCACATAAAAGAAGATTCTGACTGATGCACTGCCCCTTCCCCTCCCCTGTTTTCTACCTTCCTTCCTGCTATGAATACCAAACTATTCTTCGAAGTCCAGGACTATTAGGTTTGGTTTCTGGATCCCCATTTTTCCATCAATAAAAAAAAATCCAGCATTGGCACATACACAAACTAAATGCATCTTCATTAAATTTTAATTTGTGTATGTTTTCTTAGTTTCCCCATGTTTATCTTACTTCTCACAGTGATATTTCACAAGACACCTAATATGATCTAACAATTCACTGTTGCCGTAGGAATATAGAATAGTCCTTGCCTCTGGCTACATGCTGACTAGGGACTCCTGTGCTGATTTATTCTCTCCTCAAGAGGAGAAAAGAGGACTAACTCAGAATTAAAAAAAAAAAATCTCTAATGGGAGAGGAAAAGCAGGACCCTGCCATTTGGCTGCAACAAGCTGTTCTATTGTTACAGCCATGTTGAGAAACTTAACCTGTGTTGGTCTTTTTCCTTGTCAGTGACTCATCTTTTCCTTCTTTCATCTCATTTCATCACCTACCCTCCAGCAACTATTTCCCTCTCACCTCGGCTCCCCACCTCCAGTTTGCCTTCTGCCTCAATTTAACTTCAGAGGGGAAGCACACCAACAGAGTCCTGAAGCCCCCCCACCTGAAAGCTGGTGGGACTATTCCCCTGCGAGGGGTTTTGCTTGTTTACAGCTGCCCTGAACTGAGAAGGGTCTGTTCTGCGCACGCGCTTGGGGCCCTGGTTGGCTCCATGTGTGGTGGCTGACAAATTGCAGAGGCAGCTTAGGAGAGGTAAAGGTGTGAAAGGACTGAGCATCCGATAAGGAGCGCTAAGGACTTTGGGTTTGTCTAGTTTAGAGAAAAGGAGGCTGTGACCTCATTGCTCTCTACAGCTTCCCAAGGAGGAGAAGTGGAGAGGGAGGTGCTGGACTCTTCTCCCTAGGATCCCGTGGTAGGACACATGGGAGTGGTTCAAAGCTGCACCAGTGGACGTTCAGACTTGATATGAGGAAGCATTTCTTTGTCAAGAGGGTGGTCAAACACTGGAATAGGCTTCCTAGAGAGGTGGTCAGTGCCCCACACTTTTCAGTGTTTAAGAGGCATTTGGACAATGCCCTTAATAATATGCTTTAACTTTTGGTTAGCCCTGAAGGGGTCAGGCAGTTGGACTCAATGATCATTGTAGGGCCCTTGCAAACAAACTATTCTATTCTATTCTATTCTATTCTATTATATTCTATTCTATTCTATTCTATTCTTCTAGTCCACTCCACTCCACTCCACTCCACTCCACTCCACTCTACTCTCTACTCCTCTACCCTACCCTACCCTACCCTATCCTGCCATTCAGAAGCTCATAAGTTTAAACACATAAGTACACATGCCTGCTCCTCAGTGGGGAGGCAAGCACCAGACTGCAGCAGGACTGCAGCAAGAACTGTTCTTCAGATTATCTCACTGGCATGATGCATTTTCTTCTGGGGGTAGAAGTTTGCCCTTATAAAGTAATTTCAAAAGCAAAGGGGAGAAAATGGGCTGGTTAAAAGGGTATTGTTTGTACTTGGTGGCTTTGCATTGCTACTGGCATGGCTCCAGTTGCAACTTCGAGCTACAAGTGCAAGACAACAGCAAATGATTTCATAACTCTCTTGGGTCTCATTTTTTTGTTATTAATCAGTTTGCGCCACAGCCTTAAAATTAAGTAAGTCTATTTCATTACTGAAAATAATTAAGGCATAAAAATATACTTTTGGCGTGAATTCTTGTGAAGTGCTGCACTGTAAATATCTACTTAAGCAGGATTTCAAATAAACTTTGTTTTATTAATAGACTGTGACAGTTTTGAAAGAGTTGCTTATATAAAGGGGTAATTAAATAGACAATTCATGATAGGTGTCTTAACAGTAGGCAAGCTAAGGATTTCTATGAAAAGTAATTACCCGGTATTTGCGGTAGACAATTCAGTGTTAAATATCTTGTCAGATTTTATCACAAAGCTATGAAACCCTGAAAAACATGCAACCGGAGATATAACACAGTGACAATATTTTTACAGGTGCTTTTTCATTTGTTAATGCATGACTGAGGTTGAGTATTATTGCTCAGCCTAGGGAATGTTAAAATACAGCATGAAAGGGAAGACTTCATGAATTTAAACATGTCCTCAAGATCTCATTTCCCTTTTTTCCTGTTTTGAAATGTATGATCTAAATTTGAAACCAGTTTAGATGAAAATACCGTCACAGGCTGTGTATGTGTGTTCTATTTTCCTCTATCAGCAGTAACCAGGTCTGGGTGAGTGTCAGGGGACCTGACGTGATAATACTGGTAAAGGAGTCCAGTTTAGGGCTGTGCTACCACAATAAGAATTGAGTCTTGTTTTTGCTTTCTCTATGCCATTCAAAGAGGCCATGTAACACAACATATTGAAAACTGCCCTGTAATTAGCTGGCTTTGGTAAGCAGTACAGAGC